CAGACCTCAGCACGTAGACTGCTGGGCGATGCACCAGATATGCTACGTGAAGTCAGCGTCACTCGGGAACTTAATGTGTGGCTGGTCAAGCAGGTCAACAAGCTCCAGGCCCCGCTATGTCAGGTCTTCGTGGAGCCGTTCTCAAAGCCTTGGGTCCTGCTCGCTGACCCTATCGAAGCGTACGATATCATGACCCGGCGACCGGATTTTGACAGATCGAATTTCATCACGGACGGGTTGAGTCCCATGGACAACTTCCATGCGCGAATGAAGACAGGCCCCCAATGGAGGACGACGCGAGCGTGGCTGCAGGATCTGATGAGCCCGACTTTTCTCAATAACGTGGTTGGGCCCGTCATGTTCGATAATACGATGAATCTCATCAGATTCTGGGATACCAAGACAAGGCTCGCCAACGGTTCCGCGTTCGATGTCAACGATGACTTGGATCATAGTGCGCTGGATGGGATGTTGTCATTCGTATTCGATCGCCATTTCAAGCACACCGCACTCGGCCCACAAATCGAGACACTGTCACGGATAGCCCCAACCAGTTTGGCAGTAGGGCCCAGAGGGGAAGTGCGGTTTCCAAGGGCTCCAGTCCACGAGTTCATCTCCGCGCTGTATGAGACGGTCGACAAGATCGATGTTGTGACCAAAGCCATGTCGCCCAAACTCGCGATGTGGTTCATTCGTCAGACACCCAGCTATAAGAGAGTGACGGCTGTAAAGAGACAAGTTGTGAAGGAACAAATCCAGGGAGCTCTTCAACGCCTTGAAGCTACGGACGAGCCAAGAACCGCAATCGAGCACATGCTGGTGCGTGAAAAGAAGGCCGCTGAGAAGCAGAACCGGAAGGCCGATTTCGGTAATCCTATCATGATGGACGAGGTAAGTCATGGATAGCCTAAATCTCTTTCAGGTTTGGATCTTAGCTAAAGCATCATGCTTCAGATCGCAGGACAATTCATAGCTGGTCTGCATACGACCAGCACGACACTTGCCTGGACATTCATCTACCTCACGCGTCTTCAGCACGTGCAGAGAAAGCTGCGGGATGCACTGCATCAGGCATGCAGCGATGCGCATGCGGAGAAGCGCGTCCCGACACTCGCAGAACTGACCGCGTCGCGCGTTCCCTATCTTGAAGCCGTGCTGGAGGAAACTCTGAGACTCCACGCGACGAGTATCGCCCGGCAGGCCAAGCGCGACACGGAAGTTCTTGGCCACCGCATCCCCAAAGGAACGAATGTTGTTATGATTGCCAACGGGCCAGGCTTTCACGCGCCAGCTTTCGATGTGGAGAGTGCGCGTCGTAGTGCAACGGCCGTTAAGTCGAGAGGATGGCGGGAGACGAGCGACATGCGGGTTTTTGATCCAGAGCGCTGGCTAATCCACAAAGTGGGTTCTGCTGCTGCTGGAGTTGAGTTCGACGCAAACGCGGTACCGCAGATTGCTTTTGGCATGGGCCCTCGCAGCTGCTGGGGGCGAAGAATGGCGTATCTGGAGCTGCGCTTAGTGGTCTGCTTGGTGGTCTGGAATTTCGACTTGTTGGATGTGTCTCCCGACTTGGCTGACCCGAAGGCTAGCTACGGTATCGTCCATCGGGCGGACCAGTGTCATCTGCGATTGAGAGGCAGAAGAACTCTGTGAGTTGTCTAGATAGTTGGTCATTGTATGGGTACCTTGTACTCGATGGAAAGGTGATGGTCTTCGTTCGTGTCTTTGCTCCTGCGCGCTGTGCCTGCTGATGACGCGGGCGACCGGGCTGACTTCGGAACGCCGTCTCACACGTGACTGAGCGTCATTCCTCGACCTCGGGAGGCCATACAATCGCGCAAAAGGGGTAGACCTCGGTGCGCATCATCGCGTATCACTGACAAACAAATTTATTCCTCTGTTCGCGTAAATACAGCATAATTATCCCAATAGCAATCATTTCTACCTTGGCGCAATGTCCGATAGAGGACTATACAAGAAATCGTTAAGCGCACCCGCATCCAGAATTGAGGGAGACGCATCAGACGCCGGCCACGAAGAAGTGTCGCCCGTCGGCTGATGTGCCTGGATCAGATTTGCGATGTCCAGTGGTGATGATGCGTTTTCTGCGCTGAGGCTGGAAATATGCTGCACCATGCTTGTGGAACTGGACGCGCTTCTCTCATTCAGAAGGCAGGACAACGCATTCGCACCTTCTTCAGCCATGACGCTGACTTCAGCTAGGGTGCGTAGACGACCGAGTGCATCGCTAGTAGCCTGAATGCACCGTTGACGACTGAGATGTGGCGTGCCTGACCCGAGAGGGTCGATCTTGGATGTATGACACGGGCCATCTACCCTACCAGCCGGGAACTCGGTGTCCTCACACACGCCGACCAGAATTACTGCAGCTTCGAATGTCGGTAATATGATGCCCGGAAATCTGGTATGAGACCCTCCCAGCTTCGCGTGCAGCTTTGAGACTCCATCCAGCACCTTGAGTGCTGCCACCGCTAGTGCCTTCTTCTGCGAGGCTAGCAGGACTTGCTTGTACGCAGGAAGTCTTTGAACTTGAGCAGCTGTACAGAGCAATAAGTCACGATAGTTTTGGCATAGACTCTCGTATATGGCGATATGCAGAATCTGCCGCTGAATGGGTAAGCGTCGCGATTGTTCGTCCCACTGCTCGCTTGGCTCAAGAGCGAACGCGGCAGGCATATTGGCAAGGAACTCAGAGCAGAACTGCTCATACTTTTCCTCGGTCGCAGTCGCGTCATACTCTGTATACGATGTCGAGGGGAATTTCCGCCAGAAAGCGGCCAAGCGAGCCTGCAACATTCGTTCTGAGAATGCTTCTGGAGCATTGTCGTCGTCCAGAATGGGTGTAAGATGCATTCGCGGTAGATTGTCCGCATCTAGAGCGGCGGGAAGAAACGGGATGCGATCGAGTTGGCGTGAGAGCATACTACGGTTTGACCTCGTCAGAATAACAAAACGGACATGCGATCACTTCCACTGATAACAGTAAGATATCGTCGTACCTGTCCCAAATGTAGAGGTTACAAAACACTCTCCGTCGCATCTCCTGTTCCAGCCCATGCATCTCTGGCATATGAACTGTGTGATTTCGATGGAGGCCGGCCCTCTGAGCTACCAAAGCAGCTTTGTTGAGCGTTTCCCAGAAAGCCATGTTCTGCCCTTCACACTGAAGTCGCAGTCCCAAGAACGCCAGATGCTGCACGCGTAGTAAAGAGCCTCTGGCATCAAGTCGCGCACATAGACTAGATAGCTTCTCCGCGATATCATCGCACAATGTGCGGATCTCAGACAGAGACATTCTGCGAATGCGGTCGATAGGATGTGACGGTGAAGGAAGGAATTGGGATGCGTACGAACACATTCGCATGACCAGTGCCACGAACTCTACGTAGAAGACAGATGACACAGTTCCCAAGCTCCACAGTTGTTGATACTGTGCTAAGAACCATGGTGGGTGCACAAGCTGCTCCTTCCTATATTTATACATCAGCTTTAGCAAAATCTTCCCTCCTTTGGTGACAAGGATAAGGACATGAAGTATTCCTCCTCGCAACTCATGGTTACGATTTTCGTACGGTTGACGAAGGAAATACGCGCGGATACTTACCAGTGAATTTCGTCGATATAATACTGGACTAAGAAGTCGCAGATTTGACGATCAGGCAATCCTTTCATTTGTTGTTCGACCTCCGGGGACGCCTCTCGGGTAACGTCCTGATTGCCGTGGTGTTCGCCGCTATTCAGTCCTAGCTGTTTATACCGGTGCTTGTTAGATGGATGATGAATTGATCGATTGCCTCATTTGTTCAGGTACAGTAACCACCTCACACAAGGAGAAAGCGGAACAGGTCTAGAGCTTGCACCAACACTAGGCCACTCACTTTGCGTGTGTCCATGTTAATGTAGGCTTTAGACCTGTCCAGTCTTTTCCTAGGTTGACATGCAGTTGGAGGTGCGATTGACTTACCTTACGAATCAAGGCGATTGTATTGCGTTCGCTGTACTCGAAGTATCCAAAAGACTCCGCAACAGAGTTGCTGCTTGGGCCAGGTGTGGAACTTCGCGGTCTTGCGTTGTTCCAATTCGTTAGGGCGTTAGTGGCAGACCCACTGGCATTGCTGTCATGCGGCTGGAGATCGTCATCCGCGGTGAGTTGCTCATGTTCGTTCCCACGATTCTCTACTCTCTGGGTCCGCAGCGACGTGTGATCAGCCTGCAATGCCTGCGAAGGGTAGTATGCGCACTCCTCCGGGCGTCGGCGACGAGAACAATGATCGCAGGGATAGCGACGGTTGCACTACATATTAGCGATACTGAGTTAGCCTAAATTGCCCTCGTGCGTTTTGGTACGTCCTTCACCGGCCCAAAGTTGTGGTTCAAGGCACGTGAGAACAACAAAAGACGGTCGCACCTTTTGTTTCCGTGTGTAGCACGGAATGCACGACGACACGATGCGTTTCTTTCCAGTGCTCTGCATCATGGAGACAGAAAAAGATGAGAAACGACCAGCAAGCGCGGAGAATCGAGGTCGAGTGTGGGGTGGTGGTATTTCTTGTGGTCACTGCAGGGCCTGGCGCGGTACCCTTGCACCTGCCAAGCAAGGGAACGGCAAGGGAACGGCACGCATTGCAGCGGAAGTACTGGCGCTGACGGAAGGCGCACATCAAGCCCGTTATGGTGAATGGCTAGAGATAAGATGCACTACAGCGGCAGTCTAAAAAATCCGAAAGCATTCATATCCAATAATCAATGCATGAGTATACAGTAGGGCTGACTGCATACTGATGGTTGCGTACTCGCGTCATCAGCAGTAATATGATCTTTTGAACCGGCTTCGTCAAACGTTACACACTATATCTAACTGGGACCACAGTACATGATTCACCGGAAGCAAGCAAGCAATCTTAGCGGTGGATATTTCAATTTTAAACTACCGCGACGCGCATGTGTACCGAATCTGCCTGACCCTGCAACTGCTTTGCTTAGCGTTGCAGGTACACTTCAAGCAGCCCCATTAGACCTTCTGGACGGAAGCTGCGAACCTCGTATCTATCATCCGCTTGTTTTAACAAAGCCTCAAATTCATCCCGAGTGCGCACCTTGCCACCAAAGCTCACCAACATGATGAGGTCAATCTGACGCAGGCCACGCTCAAAGTCGCGTGTTACCGAACTCTGGGCCGGGAGAATTAGGTCATTGATGAGCAGTGGAGTGCTGGGCTCGCAGCGTTCGAGTCCGGGGACTAGAGAACGCAACATGGTGACAACGTCCTGGTCGCACCAATTGAGCGCGCACGCCCGCAAGATGTAAGCAGCTGCGTTGCCCACCGGCTGCGGCTCGAAGAAGCTGTGCTGCATGAAGGAAACCCGCCTCTTGGTCTCATCAGTGAGCAAAGACTGACCCGCTAGGTGCATATCGGCGGAGTCTTGCACCACAAAATTGAGAGCTGGAAAATGCTCAGCCAGGGTGATGGAGACTTTGCCGCTACCACCACCCACGTCCACTACAGTGCCCTTAAGGTTGCCCCAGGGAAAGGCCTCCTTGAGGACGTTGATGTTCAAGTTTACTAGAAGCACATCAGTGTTAGGCCGGAAGGTGGGTTCAGTACGAGGACGACTTACGCTTAGCCCACCCGGCCATGGCTTTAGCAAAGCGAATGGAACGCTGGGTATCCTTCTCGTAGAACTCGAAGATGGGCAGGCCGTGTCGAGTGGTAAACGGCGTGAGTGCACTGTTGTACTCAAGCGGCGATGCTTTCACATTATCAGCTGTAGAAGATGCAGCCTTGAGCATCTCATCAACCCTGTATTGAAGAGGGTCAGTGTGCGGACGAATGTACCACAGCTGCGATTTCCGACATACGTGTAGTGCACCGTCGAACGAATCTCTTCGTCATGGTGTAGAAGATATGAGCTGGGGCTGTGGGCGACATAGCCATGGGCGGGTTCTCGGAAGATGGACTCGGTGATCAGGAGGCGGACGATGCGGCTGGTCCTGTCCAGGTCAACACCTGCGTGTTTCGCCAAGTCTTCCAGCGAGATATTGCCATGCGCGGGAACTATGCTGAAGAAGTCGAAGTCCAGTGCCACTTGAATGGCTGCGAGCTCGTAGCCCTGGCAGCAAAGTGCGCGGAAGTGTCGTTTGGGCCCCTCGACGAGGTATTGGAGGTCTTCCAGGGAGCGCTTCAAGTTACCATGAAGCTCAGCGTACTCAATCGTTTCTGGGCGGTCGATGCAGTCTGACGCAAACGTAGGCGATGCATGTTTGTTTGCTACCAAATAGTCGGCGATTGCCTGCGTATGCTGAGTAACCTGTTGAGCAAGGGCGAGCAAGTCGACCGTTTCGGAGTTAGGAGCGGATTTAACGCCGATACCGTTTGCTTGTGTTGACATGATGGCGCTGCGCGTGTCGCGTTGATCAAGATGAATTACTGTCCCTCATGCTTTGAGAACGCATTCTCAAATTATACAAGCCGCCAGTCATCATTTCGGTCATCATGCTCTTGCTTGAGGTTGTGCAGCTGCCGCATCATGTCGGGCCCGGTTTGTTGTCAGACATCGGGTGCGTAATGTTTGTCGCTTGTCCGGGCCAGTCAGCCGATCGCTGCTGGTCGTCGGGTGGGAGTCGTGGGAGTCGTGGGAGTGAAAGGGTGAAATTGGTAATCCCGCTGCTTACCTACATGACCGACGTTTTCGGCCGACATTTTACGGTCCTTGGCACTTTCTCATGTTGTGCATTACCAACCCCGACGCTGCTTGCTCTATTTGGGGGACAAAACATCTGAAAGAAACATGTATTTACAGTACTCTAGCCAGTAAAATCACACTCAACCTACACCTCTGTTTCTATCTCTTTCTCATGGATTCCAATACCTCTTCGACACCAGTCGCGCGTTCAATCAACGACGAGAAGCCAGCGGAGCCGACCCTTGGCACTCTCGGGAATGCAGCGGAACCGGAGAAGCCTCCGCGCGACATCTCTGGCTGGAAATGGTACCTGACTGTAGTGTCTATCCTGTTCTCCACCTTTCTCTACGCACTTGACGCTACGGTTGTCGCGGACCTCCAGTCTGTCATTGTCGAGGAATTCGGCGGCATCCAGCAGCTGTCGTGGCTGAGTGTTGGCTTCCTGCTCTGCGCTACAGTAACCACTCTTTTTTGGGGACGCATCTACGGCCAATTCGATGCCAAGTGGCTCTACATTTTCCATGTTGCGATCTTCGAGATTGGCTCCGCCATCTGCGGCGCTGCGCCGTCGATGAACGTGATGATTCTCGGCCGTGCCATTACGGGCTTAGGAGGATCTGGTCTGTACGTCGGCTGCATGACGCTTATTGCGAGCACTACCACCATGTCTGAACGTCCGGTCTACGTTTCTGGCACCGGCTTTACCTGGGGTCTCGGCATCGTCCTGGGCCCAGTCATCGGAGGTGCCTTCAGCGAGTCTGCTGTGGGATGGCGATGGGCGTTCTATATCAACCTACTCATCGGCGCGGCGTGCGCTCCAGTCTACCTGTTCCTCATTCCCAGCAAGGATCCTCGGCCCGGTGTCTCGTTCCGCTCGCGAATTACCGACATGGACTATCCAGGCACTATACTGCAGGCCGGCGCGCTGACAACTTTCATTGTTGCCATCAACATGGGTGGTATCTCGTATCCGTGGGACTCAGGCCGGGTTATCGCACTGTTTGTCGTATCCGGTGTTCTGTTCACCATTCTGGGCATACAACAGTATTGGAACATACTCACAACGGAAGCGCGTCGCATCATCCCTGTGCAGTTCTTCCGATCACGGATGGTGCTCATTCTCTTCAGTATCACCGCTGCCGGTGGAGCGTGCTCTTTTGTGCCCATCTACATGGTCCCAATCTTTTTCCAGTTTACCCAGGGCGACGGTCCCCTCGATGCCGGAGTGCGGTTACTCCCTTATATCGTCGTCATGGTCGTTACCGTCTTCATCAATGGTGGCTTGATGTCCAAGTTGGGATACGTCATGCCTTGGTTCCTTGGTGGTGGCGCCCTGGTCGTGATCGGCTCCGCCCTCATGTACACAATCGATCTGGACACTGCTACGGCTCGCGTGTACGGCTTCACAATCCTGATGGGTGTTGGAGTCGGTATGTTCCTCCAGGCGCCATTTTCAGTTGCCCAGGCAGTCGTCGAGCTTGAAAATATTGCGCCAGCGATCAGCTTCATCACTCTGGCTCAGTCTGTGGGCATCACCTTTGCTCTAGCCATCGCCAACGCTATCCTTCTCAACCAAAGCCAGAACAGAATCGAGGGCATTTTGACTGACGTCTCTTCGGCCGATATCCAGGCCGCTATCCTCGGTGCTCGATCGGATATCGTACAAAACCTATCCCCAGAGTTGAAGACTCGCGTTCTTGCTGCCATTGTCAGTGCCATCAGCAAGACCTACAGCCTTACTATTGCCGGTGGCGCTCTTGTCCTGGTCTTGAGCATCTTCATGCCTCGCAAGCGACTCTTCCAGAAGAATGCTGATAGCACTGCTCCCTAAGCTGGCTTTGGTCAACTACCGTTCCTGTCCTGCTTCTCCATTGTCAGTTTGCATTGCCAGAAGCACACAGCTAGCCTCTGTAGATCAGGGGCGGAAGGAAACGCGCGGATACTACAACACCAACACGGATGCAAGCATGCCTTGCACCGGTTAAAATGTACAATTACCCTAATAGATTAATCAACAACCTTCCCTTCATACCACCAAGCATGCTCCTCAGTGACACATCATGAGCCCCAAATTTTAACTGTATCTGTGACTGATGCTGAGTGTCGCGATACGGCGGACAAGCGTACAAAGTAGAGTTCCAAGGTTGGTGATATGCTGGTTGGCCGTGTAGGAGAAAAGGAGCGCTGAGATGACATCACCAGATGCAGCGCCAAGCCATTAGCCCGATCGAGCATCGGCCTTTCCCTATGTCGACTGGTGCACGAGCGTTCAAACCTTCCGTGGGCCATGCCACAGACACACACCCACATGCGCCAATTACACTTATAGCAAACAACGTGCCTTCATTCAAGCTGTAGTTGACACCGCTATCTTTCCCAGCCTCGAACTTTTGTCATATCATTCGGACATGTCATTGCGCGTTACCCAGGTATCTAGAGTCTTCCAAGGTTGACTAATGCGTTTCGAAGCGGCAATCACCACCCTCACACTACCACGAGGATGACATCAAACTCTTCATCACTTCGTTCGTGACCGAAAAGCATGCAGCAGTTCATACTCCCCGCTCGTAACCGCGACCCAACCCTAGCGAGGGCTGAGATCATAGTCACTCTTGATGCTATTACACGCAACAGGCACCTCCGCTTCAATCTCCCCCCTTGCAATCTTCTCTTCTTTTGCCTTTCGCTCCTCGCGATAGACCCTCATCTCCTCATCGCGCTCGTTCTTCGATCGCATAGTAAATAGCATGCCAGGTGGGGGGTTCCACCACTGTCTCAACGCCATCGCGTCGAGTCAGCTAATGTCTACATACTCAGTGTACGCACTAACTCCTCTGGAATTGTTCTACCATCAGCTCCTCGGTACTTGTCCCCCGTCTCCTGTTTCCACGGCTGTCTATCAAGCCAGGCCTTGATCATCTCTGGCGACATGGGCTTCGCGTCGTAGATCTCGTAGTTGCTTATCTGGTCGGGCGGTCCGGGGAGATAGTGTATGACCCTGTAGACCCCGTCTTTGCCGATGCAACCGATGCAGTGCCTATCTTCATGGTGTTTCGCTGATTTGAACATGGCGTTGAGCTGTTGTCTGCCAGTCTGAGCTTGCGCAGGTTGGGTAGCACCATTACTGCTATTGGGATCTTCGTCTTGAGTCACATTTTCTATATGTGGTTGAGTTTGGCTTGGGTCTTCACTCTGAGGTGATCCGTCTTGGGGAAGCGGCAGTTGTGCCGTTGGCGAGGACATGATCGTTTCGTTTTCAGTGCCGGAAGGATGCTGTGTCTACTGCTTCCCCGAATGTGCGTCAGTAATCAGTTTGGGTAAGAAGAAGAGCTTCAAATAACTCTCAACAAAAGTTTGTGTTGATGATGGAATTATATGGTGGTAAGAGCTGTAGGCAGCATCTTATCCAAGTAATAAGCGACATATGCGGCGTTGACCAATTGGTCCTCACATGACGTAGCATCCAACAAAGATAGCACGGCAGCCTATGCGGATATATATTGCGTTGTATTATATCGCCCTCCTATGAAAGAGTCGCTGGCGCTTTTGCATGTGACACTGTGCAAGTAAATTCAGAGAAGATCGGAACCTTCAGCAGTTTGCAAATGCAACGGCGAGGAGGAATACGCGGAGTATAACTGTGTGGAACAGCTTTTATGCGGCCTGCAGCTGATACAAAGACGTAATTTCATCGTACTTGATCATCAAAGCATACCTACCATCACTCTCCGCCAATTTAAGTGTAAAGCTCCTCAGTAAGCGCATTCAACCCCATCCCCTCCTGCGCAATATCCTCTTCCTTCAAGAAAAGCAACGGCATCTCCACCAAATTCCCCTTAATCGTGCTCAGCACCTCCTTAACCTCCCTGACACCCTGTTCGCCCTGGGGGAAGTTCTCCGCAACAACATGGCCCCACTTGTACAAGCTCGGCTTCTTGTTCTCCTTGGCCTTTTGGTCCTGGCCGAAGAAGCGCGAGTAGTACTCGTCGTATTGCTTCCAGTTCTTGACTTCGTCGCTGGGGACGGGGTGGAAGATTTTGCCAAAGGCTTGCGTGTTGGTGTGGGCGCGCCAGTTCCATAGGGCTTGGAAGTCGTCGGAGAGGGGGTCGGCGACTTGGAGGTCTTCGGGGGAGCCCCAGTCGTATTGGTTGGGGACGCCGATGGGCTGGTAGTTGGCGTCTGGGCGTTCCATGTCCTGGGGCTTGAGTAGACCGAGGTGCTTCCTGAAAAGCTCTCTGCGGAGACTGGCCGCGAACTCAGATGCGCGGTAGGGACGTCCGTCCATGTATGAATCGACGGTCTTGGGGTCTTGGATGATGATTGCAATCTCGGAGTCGTGGTCGCCAAGCTGGGAGCGGTCGTTGAGGTTGGCAGAACCACAGATGACGATCTGATCGTCAGCTATGAGAAGCTTGCTGTGGATGTACAGTTCCTCAGACACGAAGGCGTCCATCTCGTTATCAGCAGAGCCCTCCCAAGGTACACGACGGATGTCCTCTCCGCCAAGCATGTAGCACTCGCTGACAGTGTCCCAGCGCCCATCGCCAAGGCCTTGTCGGCCACCGATCTTGACAGCCTCTTGCTGGTAGCGGTCGTAGTCACCGGGTTTTCCCTGGCTCTGTGGGCCACCATCATACTGCTGGTGTCCAGAGGGAGGACGACCGGAACCATCCATCTCGTATACTCCATACTCCTGGGTGGGTGGTGGGCGGTAGGCTTCGTAGCCACGCGCGTTATCGTGTGCTGCATCGTAACCCTCTTGAGCTTGGTTGTAAGAGACACCGCTACGTTGCTCTGCATCCTTCATGACCGAGCTGGAGTTGATGCGATCGTAACTGCGGAGGTTGTAGAAGCGGATGTAATCCATCGGGTTGAATCCAGCCCTAGCAATCTCTTCATAGATGGAGTGACCGCCACGGTTGATGGAGTCGTACTGGACTGTGTGACATCATCGTCAGCATAGCACATGCGGAAGAGACGAACCAAACTTACACTCCATGATGGCTCGAGTGCCCAATGCCTCGTCTAGCTTCAAGTCTCCAGCAAAGGCAGGCACTGCAGGAATCATAACGATCATCTTGTACTTCTCACCGTTTCGTGCAGCACGAACGATGCGCTCAACCATGGCTGCACCGATCTTGTTCTTGATCGGCTTCTGCTGATCTCCAGTGGCGGTGATGAAGAACTGGTTCTCGATGTAGATGAAGTGCTTGCTGTTTTTGATAATCTCACAGTAAGCATTTTGGATGGAGTGCTAAAGAAGTTGTCAGTTCGTGTCCGCACAATCAGAAGTACTACTGACCTCAGTAGTGACCAGATTGTGGCTCCATTTGGCAGAACTGCGTGCAATCTGACAATCCACGCCGCCCCTCTGAGAGCTGTGTTCTGCATGCGATTGTTGCTGACCGTACTGTCCGTGCTCTTGGCCGCCGTACTGTTCGAATTTGCTCTGCATCTTTTGGCGAAGATGCCCCCCAGCACCGTGTCCGAACAGTCCTCGCTCGCCCTCCTCTTCGCGACCAAATCCTCGTTCGCCCTCTTCTTCGCCTTCCAATCCTCGCTGTTGCATGGAAGGTGCCTGTTGAGCTCCGCTGCCGGTGTCCGGTAACCTGGTGTATCTGGAAGATTTGTGAGAATACTTCTCGTCATAGATGAAGTTCCAACGTTGGGCAAAGTGAGTACGAAGATCCTGTACTACAGGACCGGAGAGACACAGCGCTACATCAGACCATCCCATGCGAGAGCTTTGGGTCCTGTCGAGTTTGTTGTTCTCCCAGTGGGTCACGTCTTGGAAGTCTACTCAGTGTCAGCAAACATCACCGCCTCGTGTAGGAAGAGACCGCCTATCTGCCGTCTGACAGCCCTAGAGTACGACGATGACTTACCTAGCATACGAGCGTTGTTGAAGTCTTGACCTGGGAACACGATTCGGTCGATGTTGCCGGGATGCGCGTCAGCAATTGCGTGCTGGTTAGTGTCCCAACGACCGTAGCACAGATCCAATCCTCCCATGAATGCGATGTGACCGTCAATCAGGCAAAGCTTCTCGTGATGAGCCCAGTACATGACAGTACCCTCGTGAGCACCATAGATCGCCTTTAAACCGTCTCCAGGAAGCTGGGCAAGCTTTGCAGGTGTGAAGGACATGTTCTTCATCGACGCAAAGAAGGATGACTGCAGTACCGCCGCATCTGGCAAATGGTCGGGGTGTCGGAAGACACCAATGTTGGGGTGGAGGTCCTCCAAGTGGTGTTTGGTATGCGACGAGGAGACTGTAATAGGAGGGGCAATCAGCGGATCTGTCTTTTCCCACTCTTCAAGACTTTTGAATATAACATCTAGGCCGACCCGCGTAAGGCCTTTGGTAAACCTATCCGTCGAACTCGGTAAAAGAGAATGAAGATAGTCTGGTAACGTTGGATTCAAAAACTTACGAGTCAGGGCTTGTGTAACCTCCTTGTACACAATGATGTTGACCTTGACGCCACGTTCTGCTGCCGCATGCAGCAATCGGTCGACCCGGTACTGTTGGTTCTTGGCGGGCGGTCGGCGAAGATACAGCTCGGGAGACAGCCACCAGTCGAGTATCCAGATGGACTCTTTGGCGCGCTCCAAAGCTATGGAGACGGCGTACATGTAGCTACACATGTCAATTGGATTCGTGTATGATTAGGTATGTGGAAATGTAAAACTTACCTGCATCCGTCAACATACCACTTGGTCTCGTTGCCATGTCGTTCAGGCGCGAAGCTCAAGAAGCGGTGTTGTTGATGGTACTCTTGCCCAGGCTGTGGCTGCCCGCCCTGTTGGCCTTGCTGGCCCTGCTGTTGATATGTGCCCGGCGGGGGCTTCTGCGCGTTATCATCGCCGGATATGGCATCCTTGAGGTCGGAAACGAAGCCGTGGAGAGGGTCGTGGATCTTCTTGAAGAACGACATACCGCCGCTGCCCTGGTTTGAGGATGAAGAAGCGGGCTGGTTGTTCTGCGGTGCTAAGGTTAGGAATTTGTAGATCCAAGACAAGCTTCTAGATACGCGTCCTGTCCCTGCAGCAAGCTAGGCGGTGTAGAATAGGAACGCAAGATACGCGAAGACAGTGAATGACGAGGCAGCCCGACGCTATGACTGTCGGGTAGTGGGGCAATTCCACTTCCTCAACGACGCGATACACAGGGAGCGTACAATGACAGCATGGCGTTTCAGAGGAATGTACTGACCTCTTTTCTGCCAAAGCCAAAACGCCGACCCATGTCGCCTATAAGGCCGCGATCTCCCTCGTCGCCCTCCTGCCCATGGTAGTCGCCATATGCCAGATCATCGTCTCGGCGAGACATTGTGCCGGACTGAGGCTTCTGGTTGTTTGCCACTCAGCGCGAAGGATGTAAAGTGGACGGGGTGTGCTGGAGCTTCAGAGTTGGAGCTCGAGGCCGAATTGACCCCGCGTCATCATCTCAGCGCGACGGACCACGCACATGCAATGCAGGGAAGCCCGAGCGTACGAGCTGAACATGTGAAACAGACACCAATGAAGTGCGCGCACCCTGATTTCCGTCTCTGCTGGCCAGGCGCGTACCGGCGCAAGGATGCAGCATGTAGCCCCTCATCGCCCTGGAGTACCCCACTATGTCCGGAGCTTCCCCCTCTTTTGACAGCTTCGCCATGCTGCGCGACATGTGGTGGTAGCAGTTCAACCACAATATCGCATTGCAAACACCAAAGAGAACTGTAATAGAGCTTTCCTAGATGGTACAAAGCGCCCGGCTCAAGAGTCCACACAACTTGTGGGCCGCATGGAGATGCGGCAGACGCACATGGATGACGTACCCTTGTATCATCGGCTGCTGGAGAGCGGTTCGGTAGCTGGAGAGCTCCTCTTCTTATCTGCCCACGTCGTTACACAACATCGTTGACATAGCCGTCTCCTCAATTTACTATATCTTTCGCAATGGCTTTCTCATCTCGTCTTGCGCTTTCTGCCAGGTTGGCCTCTCGCACATTTGGATCTATACGACCTGCTGTCCCTCTCACAGCTACCCGCTGCTTCCACTCCACGCCTATCGCCATGGCGCAACACCCAATTGCTACTTTGAATGTAGGGAGAGAACGAATGTTTGTCGGGCAACGCTGACAATCGCGTAGGAAGAACTCATCCCTCGTCTGCCTGCCTCCTCTCCAACCCTCTTCGAAGCAAAGAAGAAGAAGAACCTATCTTTTGAAGCTATCGCCAAGCACGTCGGGCGCGATGAAGTTGCAATCGCCGCTCTTTTTTACGGGCAAGCCATGGCTTCCGCTGAGGACATTAAGAAGCTCTCTGAAATCCTAGAGATTGACGCTGGGCTGCTCGAATCGCAGCTCTCAGGCTTCCCCAACCGAGGCAGCACGCTCGACATGCCGCCAAAGGACCCCACCATCTACCGCCTATACGAGATTGTACAAAACTATGGACAGGCGTACAAGGCAGTCATGCACGAGAAGTTCGGTGACGGCATCATGAGTGCTATTTCCTTCAGCACCAAAGTAGAGAAGGAGACGGATGACAAGGGCGAGTGGGCCAAGATCACGCTGAGGGGCAAATGGTATGTGATAGCGCATGTATCGTTGACGGTCACTGACAGACTTCTAGGCTACCATACTCGCGATTCTAGTCGCATTGTAATAGCAACCAAAGATGTGATTCATGCCAAGTATAGTCTCTTGTAATTGTGGTTCTTCGTGTCAATACTTGTTCTGTTCGAGTATCGTGTTGTGTTTGGAGTGCTGCGACTCTTGCCATAGGATCCATGCTTGTTGTCCGCGGTGGGGTCGTTGTTGGTCTATGGTGCAGCTTCCTAGGTGAGAGCGCAAAGCCACCGCTCTTGCCCATAATTTCCCTCACCTGCCATGACTGCCTAACTCATCCTCACCCCGCTAGCTTTCCCCTCGCTACATAAACACCTCGATCTGCAAGAATACATCCTTCCAACACCACCATCTTTTCTGCACTCGCTCGGCCACGACCGGTTTCTTCCTTCAGTACACGGTCGGCCAAAACAAAGGTCTCTCAGTCCAGGGAAAAGGCTTAGCCAACCCACAATTCTTTACTCATATCTTGCGGCACGCTACTCGTCTTCAGAGGAGGGAAGCTTTGACAGCTGCGCACTCACGTCATCTTTGCTGGTACACTCACGTCACCTTTGCTGGTACCACTTAGAACCTCAGGGCTGCCCATCACACAAGCGTAACTAAGGCGACGTCCTACATAGTTAGCACGCGCAGGTGAGCGCACCTTTGATACCACGGTTCTTGATTGCCTTCAGACTGACTTTGCGCATTGCAGAAACGAATCAAGCTCGTACCTACAAGTTTCACTCCCACGAACTCACGACAGTCGATCACAACCTCAAACCAAGATGCCAGCCACACTTGAGCCAATCCGACGCGTCAAGTGTACCTACAAAGACTGCGACATGTCTTTCGAGACGGAGAAGATCATGAAGAATCATAAGAAGAACACTGATGAACACGAGTACTGTCACAAGTGTGACGAAGACTTCGACACCTTCGAGGACTACGCCATGCACAAGATCACGCGTCCAGAAGAGCACAACCTGGCATGCCGTGTCTGCGGTGACGAGTTCAAGAGCAAGTCAGGCCTGAAGCGCCACATCGAGCTCAACCACAGAGTCGACCAGAAGCTCACCTGCATCGGCTGCCAGAAGTCGTTCTACCGCGCATGCCTCTTCATCGAGCATCTTGAGTTCGGCCACTGCGACGTCATTCCAGCACAGCAGTTCCAAGGCCATATCGTCCACAAACATTTGATTGCGGATTTGTTGGACGGCGGCGAGCAATACCTTCGCTTTCTGCAGAAGACATCCAAGTACGAGGCAGCCATTGACAATGATGATCCGACTGGAGTCGACCTCACTGATGATCATTTCGGCGACGAGCATGAGATTGGAGAGGTCAAGTACGAGGCGATCAAGCCGGATAAACCCGAACACGAGGATGTTCCAGTCTTCTACGGCCGGTATCCTCCTCTTCCCTCTCAGGCCAAGTCCATTCCGGACGTAGACGCAGCAATCGCGCCGATGATGAACGGCATCTCTCTCAACGGAGATGCTGACAATGACTCCGATTGTTCAACAGCCGTCGGATCTCCTGTCGTCACTGGCTATCCTGCACGTACTAGTTATCTTCCCGGACACTCTCACCAAGGTCAGAGTTGCTCTTCTGCACATGGCGAGTCCGCGGCTCAGAGCTCAAACACCCAGTCCTCCAGTCGCCAGACCAAGGTCTGGGGCTCTCGCAAGGGCAAGACAACGAGCTCAGTACTATTCCCCAACGCCAAGCCCAAGGCCCCTCCCAGCGACTTCTCCATCTCCGCCCACGACGAGATCATGGAAAAGGAACACGGTCGCAACATCTTCAGCTTTCGATTCTGGGATCCCATGAGCGACGACTGGAATCCCGAGCGCTTCTGGGACCCCATCGTCAACAAGTACTACTGTCCCTTCATCTGCGAGTAAGTCCATCATGCCATCCTTAGCCCTCTTCCCTCGCTAACCCTTCCCCAGACAGTCTTTCCCCATATCCAGCGACCTCCACACGCACATCCTCGGCGACCATCGCATAACCCGCATGAAATGCCCAAAGTGCCTTAAATACTTCAAGTCCGCCACCGCGCTGATGGCGCACTGCGAGTCGCGAGGAGCCCGTTGCAACATCAACCAGACGGACAACTTCAACAACTTCCTCGACCGCATGTCTGGCGGCTTCCTGGGTGTCAATGAGAAGATTCGGCCTGATCACCTTAATACGCGTTCTGTTATGATACAGAACTCGGAGACGGGCCATATGGAGCTGTACAAGCCGCCGGTTGCGAGCTATCTCCAGTATGAGGTTACGACGCCCCCGGATTGGAAGGATCCTGTTAGGCAGGGTGTGACGATTGGGGGCATGAACGGGGGATCGCGGTGGTGAAATAAGGTGATGGTAGTGCGGTAGGGATGGGATGGAGTTTGTGTGTGTGTGTGGCTTTGGTGACAAAAACCCTGGGAAGAGATTGATTGCCTCAGGGACCAGTCGGTATCTGGTGGATTGCACATGGCAATATCATGGTGGCACTACTTTTCATTTCCCCTAATGGGAGTGCTCAATTGTGCTCCCCCGGGTCGATCAATCATGATGATACGTAGAGAAAAACTTGACCAACTTAGCAGTAGAAAATTGCAGTTCTCCAAAGCACCTCATACAAGAAAACACCTGAACAGATCTGTAGCCTACATCGACGCCAGGCCACCTGTCTTGTATGCTTTCACGTTAATGTAGGCTGCAGGCCTGTCCAGCTTTTTTCTTTGGTCGACGTGAAAGTTGAATACTTTGTATCTATGCTCCCGCTATTCCTGGATGCAGAGGCCGTTGTTTGTAAAGCACAAATTTCACATCTTCATCTCAGCTACCCACTTCCGCATCTACATGATCCGTCCCACCGCCATCTCCGCCATCATATTAGGCAAATGACTTGGATTAAAACTCCGCTTACTCGGCGCGTCCGTCGTCGTAAGATTGAGGCTTCCCATGTCGCACCATGAGACTCCGTTTGTGGTAATGGGCTGTTCAGCATGTTGTCAGCAAACCGTACTTTCTGCCAGATACAACCCAAGATGGGACATGGGATAGAACGGGGATGAAACTTACCAAACAGCTCAAATGCTTACACCAACTACACGTATTCCGCCACTCATAAAAGTTTCTCAGCAGGAGGATAAATCCGATAAACACCGCTACCAAACCCCCAGCACGGACAAGCCACCACGCCCACCACAGCGGCTTCCTCCCCTTGAAGAAGCCCACGGGCTGTTTCGCAAACGCTGTAATCTTGCTATTGCTCGTTTTAGGTTTACTACCTTCGTCTCCGTCCACACCGAGCGACGCAGAATGGGCTAGAGGTGCGGTGTCAACAGTCGCATACGGGGGTTCACTCTGACCCGTGCGTGCGCGCAGCGATTCGGGGGAATGGATGATACAGATACCCAGTACGATGCCCATGAGGAACCCGCCGATGTGGGAGAAGTTGTCCAGACCGGGTAGTAGACCGATGACGAAGGCGATGGCCATGTCGAGGAGGAGGAAGAGGAGGTCTTTGACGGGGCTGCGGCGTGTAGACCAATTGTACAGTAAATCCAGCATGGTGAGTGCGAGGACGCCGAAAAGGGATCCAGATGCACCGACGGAGGTAATGCCGTCGGGGGCGTAGTTGCCGCCGAGCACGAAACCGAAGATACCGGCGGAGAAGTATACGAGTGCGAAGCGGAGGGGACCGATTTCCTTTTCCATGTCGCGGCCTAGTGTCCACTGGAGGAGCATGTTGAAGCCGATGTGAATGAGTCCAGCGTGGAGGAAGATGGGCGTGATGAAGCGCCACCATTGGTTGGGTTCGTGGCTGCGGTCTTTGAAGTCTGTGACGGAGGTTTGGTCGGGGACGCCGCTGCCCATGCCGCAGAGTTCGGCGAGGGTGCATTTGTTGTCTGTGAGGGTTGTCGTGTTGGGGCAGGGCCAGTCTACGACGGGGCCTGGTTGCGCTTCGATGACGCGCTTGATGTTGTGCATGCAGGGTGTGAAGCGCGCGCCCATGTTGATGAGGACGTAGGGAGAGGGGCCGATCATGATGTTGAAGTTGGGTTTCGTTTGGATGGGGCTGCCTGTTAACATGCCTGGGGGTTGTTAGTCTGTTGCTTATACTGACAGGTGCCAGACGTACCATTCTTGATCAGTTCCCCCACGAATACACCGACTTGCACCGCCGTAAGGATATATACAACCCACGTCACCCGTCCACTAAACATGCCCTTCTTCTTTTTACTCTTTCTCCGCCTCGGTTCCACACCCATGCCGTAGTACTCTGGGTCGCCATTATACCGTGTCGGACTGCTGCCATCCATCTTCGGTTGATTCTGAAGCGGTATTGCGTTCTGGTCGGCGAACGGATCTGGTTGCCGCGCGTACGGGTCGTTGATGTGTGCCGTCGAGCTATATTGTGTGGGAGGTTGGTACGAGGTATTGGAATACGATGTATCGATGGGGTAGCCGCCGAGGGCTCCGCTGCTTGCGGTTTGGGTTGGGTAGGGCCGGTCGCCAAAGGGCGTGCTGACGGGCGAGATGGAGTGTTGCGTGTGGTTGCTGGGTATCGGTGGCAGAGGCCCATCGTTCCTGTCATGCGACTGCCCTTGGGTGTTGCCGTAATAGTCGTTGGCCGCCATGATGGGCAGGAACTTGTGGTGGTATTAGGAAGGCGCAAAGGTGCACAACGTGATGCGCAACAGTAGCAGGTGTACGTCGTGTCGAAGGGCGCAATACACGTGAGGTCGACTCTGTCGAACAATGAAGTTGTGGGGTAGACGAAGGGTTTGGCCTTGCTTAAGCTGGGGGGCGTGCGACGACTCGTCGTCTCCGGAACAAGCCTCGCGCAAGCCTTGTGTAAGTCCAGGGGTTCCTTCGGCGTCTCGGAAGCACGAAAGAGGAACAAGAAGAACACGTTAATCCAAAAACTCAGGCACCCGCTGTTATATGACCAACGCCAGCACACAACGCAGCAACGAAGCGAATGTCGGAAACGAGAGGCTGAGGGTTGCGGTTTGCGTATGCAGAGACCGACCGGGGCTCAGAAAGCGAGTGATGCGCAACTCAGCCCCAGCTGTGGAACCGGTAAAGGATGCTGTACCCTACACCTAGCGTCTAAGCGACGATCTGTGGCGTAGACGTGCTAATAATAACTGCCGCGCACCTTGGAATCACTGACATACACTGAATTGACGTAGAAAGTGGCGACGTGAATGTACGATGTATCTAGTTTTAGTTGTCGCATTTTGGCGACTGCGCGCTGGCATGGAACCACGTGCAAACCCCTGGAGCTTGTGGCAGTTACCGTTGCGCTGCTGCTGCCACTGCGGAAAGTGGAGCTAGAGGTATCCACTTGTTTACGCGGACAGTGAGACATGCGTCACCTACATCACCAAGTATGCATGCTGATCCCAAGATCCTCTCCTGATGATGCTGATGCAAAATGCGAAGAATATTACTGTATCCAATTCATTCTATCTAGCCTACAACGGCGGTAAGCTCTCTCTGCAATTCGGACACATGAGTCGATACCGCATCCACCCTTCCAAACACCCAGTGTGGAATATGTGCCGACAAGGCGTAACCATGTACTGCCTTCTTTGTAGAATCATACTCGTCCCGCCCATGCCAGCCACGCTGCTCTCATCAGCGCCTGCGGGTATGACAGGAACTTCGATGTCGTTGGCGCAGATACTGCAGTCGAAGAGTTTTTTGCCTTTCGATTTGGATTCACTTGAGGCTTTGGAGGATTCGCCGTCGGGGGCAGAGGCGTCGATTGTGGTGGGTGAGTCGGTTGATGTTGTGATATTGAGGGGCATTGTTGCGCCTTCTTCGTCTTCGCGCAGAATGGGGTGGTAATCGTATGCGGGGGGTGCCCATCCGTCTCTGATGAAGAAGCGTGGACCTAGCATTTCCTGGCTCACCAGCACCACCACTTGGATCCACACCCACCCTGCCAGGAAACCCATTGCTCTCCAGTCTGTTCTTGAAAACAGTACGTTGTCTTCTTTCATGTAAAAGTACGCTACAGGTGCGATGCGGGCCACGCTCGTTCCTACAACGTAGTCCCAGCGCAGTGCTCGCCGGCAGTTGCGCATGATATTCCGGTAGATCTGCGGTGCCCAGAACGAGAGGTAGATGAAGGTGATGACGTCGAAGTAAATTGCGCGATACGTCGTGCGAGCCGTCCCGAAGTGTATAGTTACAAAGAACAGAACGATGAGCATGAGGCAAAAGCGGCTGTACAGTGCACCAAGCTCGGCCCGGGGATTTGCATTCGTTGTCGTAGCGCCGCCTGGAGTGGGTGTATTATTTGGACTCGGAGTGAGGTCTTCGTCGGGGTCGTCCTGGTCTGGTGCAATGATGATGGGAGTAGGTGGACGTGGCGGTCGAGCGGCAGTAGCTGGCAAAGGTAAACCGCCATCGGTAGGCGGTGTTGCAGCTGCAGGCTCAGGAGCCGGAGTTGGGGTCGCAGTAGTAGTTGCAGGATTTCGTTGTCGCTCTTGACGGGCTCTCTCCGCTGCTTGCACAGACCAGATGTCCATCAAGAAGCGAAGATGGGTCAGTACAGAGAAAAGCGCTATAAACGCAATACTGTAGAGCGCCAACTGTGCCGTACCGAGGAAGAAGTACATGAAGATAAGAATCAAGAATGTGAAGCCATCTCCAAGGGCCATCATAGCAATGGTATAGAAGCTGACCCGGCTGCGCATGGACGGCGTTGCGGTCTCTTTCATCTGCTTAAGAGTGAAGGAAAGTTGGAACGCAAGACTGATGGCAAAAGCGAGGATGCCGTGTCTCGCGCGCACATTGAAATCTTCTGTCTTGGATCCAACCAGGTGCATGGCTTCTGATGGCGGGAAATCTGGAGGACCCTTTGACTCAATCACGAAACCACAATCTGGAGAGAAGCCCACCATGGACATGGCGTGAGGGATATCGTGTGGGATAGGAGCGCCAGTAGGAAAGCGGAGCTCGTGCTCGAGCCAGTCCATGTCGACGTTGGATTGACTTGGAAACTCTTGAAGATACAAGACGAACTCGCAGTGGTGCCCTTGGAACATGCCTTCATTGTTGCCCTCCGCAGCGGATGTCCAGGGGTTCCAATTCGGGAAAGCTCTCTTCTCTTGCCGTTCTATGGCTTCGTGTATCGTCCAGTTGAGAAACTCCTGGGACGTGGAGTAGAAGTATGGCGTAACCTGCAAATGAGGCAAAGCGAAGATGCCCGCGAACCGATCACTCGTAGTCGTCAGAACAGCAGTTCCACTCTTCAAAAAATGAACGCCGTGTGCCACGAACTCCCACCAGTTCCCCCCAAAGCTGCCTTTGTCTCCGATGACCACTTTCGCGCTGATCTCAGA